AAGAAAACAAATTAACTTCGATTCATTGCAATTAGATATTTATTATTTAAGTTTAAGTGAACAACTTTCATTAGCGGTGAAGATCTTATCGACTATGAAGACATTTGTGAGACTAGTCCGTTGCACGTTCCAAGTCTATCTAAAGCAATCGGCTCAGGGAGCGCATATCGCTTTAGTGGTGGATGTTGGGATGGTGGACATTGTGGACCTCGGGCACATTAGGATGCGCCGCGATCCAGGCAAGGGAGCGTGCGATCTGCTCGGGAATGGCGGGAATGGCAGCGCCCGATGGCTGGTAGCCGTTCTCATCGGCCACGTACTTGATCTCGATGTGCTCGCCCTCGGGTGAGATCCAGCTGAAGCTGCCGTGGATGTTGCCGTGCACATCGCCGCTCTCGGAGCGGACGATGTGGTTGCTGGTCTCCAGGCTGCTGTCAAAGCCGTCGGCGCGCACATCATCCCGGCGGGACAGCGTTTCGGCGTGCGACTCGTCGCCGTGGTGAACGGGCAGTGGGTGTGGCACTGGGACTGGCGGCGGGCGTTTCGGCAGTGGCTTGTGCTCGATTGGGTGGTGCACAGCGGCGACCAGGCCGATGACGGCGCAGAGCATCACCTGGAAGACGATTGATTGATAAGCGAACGTTGCCTGTCGCTCCTTGGTCTACTTACAATTTTGAACATCTTGATTTGGTTTGGGTGCAGCTGAAGACCGTAGAGAACGAACGTTGACTGATGCTCCAGCTTGGCCAGCCTACGGCTTTTATACAATTCCAGTGGGCGTTGCCCGATCTGCGCACTGTCCAGTTTTTTTTTTTTGAGTTAATCCCAGCAAACAGTTACGTCGGTGAATTATGAGTGTACCCGCCGAGCCCCCTTCCAAAAATTATTAGCTCTTGGATACAATTTTAAAGAAGCATCGTCAAATTAATATTATTGTTAAGGTGAATAAACAAGTTCAACTCAAACTCGTTCACATTTCAAAGCAAAAACGTCAGCGTTTTGTCACGAGCCCCCAATTCCAGTTTCTAATGTGCAGTGGAGCAAATGGCCAATAAAAAATTGCAAATTTTCCATAATTTGTCCATCCGTCTAGAGTTCTTTTACCTTGCATAAGCACTAATTTATTAATTGTTCTACTTTATTTTTTAGAATATCTATAAAGGCTTTAAAGGCCAGCTATATAAAAAATAGGCTATTTTGTATATTAAACAATACAATGAAAATTGCAAATTAAAAATGCCAAAGATTTATAAATTATGATATTAATGGCAATTTTATACAGCTTTGCAGCAATTAATTGAATTATGAGAACATTAAAAGATATGCAAAATGTTTTTTAAGT